AAATGCATGGTGTAACCAGTCATAGAAAAAGTCCCTAGTGACCCATGCCTTACTGTTTGCCCTCCACAGCACACACAAATTCTCCTTGAGGACATTCTTTTGCCTGAACGATCTGGGAGTTTCAGAGTGATACACTAATAAAGGCTTCACTTTGTAATCACCAGTAGCATTGGAATACATCAACAAAGTAAGCCTGTCTTTCATAGGCTTATGTCCTGGGAGTGCCTTTTCCTCCTGAGTAATGTAGGTCCTGCTTGGCATTTTCTTCCAAAACAGGCCTGTTTCATCACAATTAAACACTTGTTCAGGTTTCAGTCCTTCACTTTCTATGTACTCCTTGAATTCCTGCACATATTTTTCAGCTGCTTTGTGGTCCGAACTGGCAGCCTCACCATGCCTTATCACACTATGTATGCCACTACGCTTCTTAAATCTCTCAAACCAACCTTTGCTGGCCTTAAATTCACTCACATCATCACTAGTTGCAGGCATTTTTTTAATTAAATCGTCATGCAACTTCCTAGCCTTTTCGCTTGTGATCGCTTGAGAGACGCTATCTCCTGCTAGCTGTTTTTCATTTATCCACACCAATAAGAGACTCTCAACATCTTCCATCACTTGCGATCTCTGTTTCGAAAACACAGTTAAACCTTTGGCAAGAACAGCTTCCTTGATTGCCTTTCTGTTGCCCACAATAGTAGAGATGGTTGATTTGGGTTTCTTGTACAACCTGACCAGGTCGGCGACACGCACTCCACTTTCATGCTTATCAATGATCTCTTTCTTCATCTCTATTGGAATTCTCACCCTTATTGCTGTAGGGTTGGCACTAGAAGCTTTCTTGGGGCCCATGGTCACTTATTTTCCAGATAAAGCACCGAAAACACTGTAATAATACGAAATATTCCGATTGTATGCTTGGATGTTACAGCGGAGGCTGGCTGGTAAACAATGCCACCGGCGGAACATGTGAGGCTGGCTGAGGGCGCACATTGGACGCGTCTCAGACGGAGAGCGGTGTTTTTGGACGGTATGCGAGGCAAAATTTTTGCGATCAAAGCGAGCGGTATTCGGATTGTACGGTATGTGATGCGTACGGTATGCGGGGGTCCACTGTATACGTTTTTTCAACATCTGAAAGTATGTTTTACATTTGAAAACGTGTAAAAAAAACTTTTATCTACATTTTTTTTGTTATATTTGAAAATATGTAAAAAAGTAGATCTACTTTTGTAGCACTACGAATTTGAACGTCGATCTGTTTGGACCGTTTAAGGGTTAAAACAGCAACTTTGCAGTGTTTTTTCGTATATTTTTTATAGTTGTATTTGCAATTTCTTGGTCTCATTTGATAGAATGGAAGACATATTACAGAAATAGTGATGATTTTGATTGGTTTTAGCACTGGAAATGGCGTGAAACTGAGCTCAAAGTAGCGGAAATGTTAAATTTTTGCCGATGTTCAAGAGTAAACAAACAACCTTACACGTCTAATACACACCAGCTGGTGGGTCTAATATACATTCACAAATGTGGTGATGATATTTATACAATTATTACAGTATTGCATAACAGTAAATCTTCTATTTTTTGGTTTGAATATTATTATTATTATAATCAAGGGGGAAGCGCTAAACCCGGAGGATTATACAGCGCCTGGGGGGGGAGGATGTGGAAGGCATTCAGGCTTAATTCGGGGAACTGGAGCACAGATCCAATTCCCTAAATCAAGAGCCCCTCACCAACATCAAGGAACCTTCCTTGAGGGGTTGGTTTGAATAAAAATTCATTATGTGATTAAAAAATCAAAATGGAATTCATTTGTAAAGCCTCAAAACATAACTAATGAACAGAGGAAATATTAGTTTAGTGCCAGGAATACCTACATTGTTTATTCTGCACCCTATTTTGAAATTGGAATATTTTGAGCTTTGTGTTAAATTGTCCGAATTACCAATTTCCGATCACTTCATTTTGTAGTTGAAACAGGTGACTTGGCGATTTCTTGTGCTCAGTCGATAGAATAGAAGTAATACTAGTGAAATAGCTAAGAGTTTGGTCGACTGGAATAATGTAATTGGCAAATATATAACAAAAAGGCACAATACCGTGACTGGAACGATACACAAATAACCCGCACATAAAAGAGAGAAGCTTACGACGATGTTTCGGTCCGACTTGGACCATTGACAAAGTCACACTAACAGAGGTGGAGCAGGACGGCTATATATAGGCAGGAAGAGGTGGAGGTAGTAGTAGTAGTAGTACAAGAATTGTATATAATACTGACAGGATGAAATGACACCTCCCACCTCTGTTAGTGTGACTTTGTCAATGGTCCAAGTCGGACCGAAACGTCGTCGTAAGCTTCTCTCTTTTATGTGCAGGTTATTTGTGTATGTGTAATGTAATTGGCCTAAAATGGGAGTCAAATTCGGCAAAATTGCCGATTCGTAAATATCGCTGACACATCAAAATTTGCAAGAGCATAATTTTGTCAATTTTCCATCAAATTTCGTACTTTTTTGTTTTATTACCTTCAGAAAAATTTTTTCTACCATTTCATAAGAAAAAATAAATTTTTTTTTTTTTTTAAATTCTTGGACCCTGGTGCATACTTTGAAATTTGGCCTCTGGACCCTGAAAGGGTTAAGGTCCTGTAGATGTAGATGGCACAGTGGTAAGTGTGAATGTTCTGAACAGGGAGTAAGTTTAGAGCTATGAAGAGTGGGGGGGGGGGTGTTGCCAGGGATGGGATTTAGTGATTATTGTTACTGCGGCTTTTTGTTGGGTTATTATTGGCTTTAGGTGTGTTGATGCAGTTGATCCCCAAGCACAGATAGCATAGGTCAGTATGGATAAATGAGTGATGGTATAGTGTGAGAAGGACATTTTGTGGCACGTAGTATCATATCTTGGAGAGGATCCCAACCATTTTGGATACTTTTTTTGTTATGTGTTGGATATGGGTGCTGAAATTCAGGTTGTTGTCGAGGTATAGGCCTAGGAATTTGCCCTCATTATGTCTGGCAATTAGAGTGTTGTCGATCTTAATGTTAAGTTGCACAACACCTGCTCTGCTACCAAACATAATATAGTAGGCTTTGTCAGTGTTAAGTGTAAGTTTATTGGCTGTCATCCAAGTCGATATTTTGAGCAAGATTAGGGTGAGAGATGACATAAGTCGTGTCGTCAGCAAAGAGAATGGGTTTCAGGTGTTGGGATACGTTTGGAAGATCATTGATGTAAATGAGGAAGAGTGGGGGACCAAGGACACTTCCCTGCAGAACTCCAGTATCAAGTGGCTGTGTTGATGATGCTGTGTCTTTAATGGTGACATACTGATACCTATTAGTAAGGTAGGATTTGAAATATGCAAGCACATGGCCTCTTATACCATTATGGTCAAGTTTGTGGAGTAGGATGCCATGGTCTACTGTGTCAAAAGCTTTTCTTAGGTCAATAAAAATTCCTAGCGGATATTCCTTATTTTCCAATGCTGTGTAAAGCAGATCTCGCATTTTTATAATTGCATCGTTAGTGCTTTTATTTTTCCTGAATCCAAATTGGCAGGGGTTGAGTATGTTTTGTGCCATTATAAATGAATATAGTCTCCTGTGCACGAGTTTCTCAAAGATTTTGGATAGCATTGGTAAGTTTGATATTGGCCTATAGTTGTGTACATCTGTAGGGTCACCACCTTTATGTATTGGTGTAACCCTTGCTGTCTTGAGTAGTGTCGGGAAAGTGCTAGTTTCTAGTGACTTGTTAAAAAGTAATGAAATAGCATGCAAAAGGACATGGGCCGCTCGCTTGTACAATAATGGTGGGTCATGAGAGAGATTTCCTGAGTTATATTTAAGTGACTTTATAATCTCGGTGACTTCCGTGGGCTCAGTTGGTACAAGATAGAAGGAATTTGGGAAATTCCCATCTAGGTAGTCCCCGGCATGGGCGTTGGTACGTGGGATTTTACTGGCGAGATTAGATCCTATGGTTGAGAAGAAGTCGTTTATCTTGTTAGCTGTATCAGTGGGATGCAGTGGTGTTTCATTAGGTTTAGTTAGGACAATATTCTTGTTTTTTTTTCAGTTTGTGGGTCCCCAGAATCTGAGAGAGTGTTTTCCAGGTAATTTATATATCTCCTCTTGTGTCAGTGAATCTGCTGGAGTAGTGCAGTTGTTTGGCTTTCTTTATTAATTTGGTGAGATCTGATGAATAGTGTTTAAGAAAGTCTTTGTGTATTAAGCCCTGTCTATATTACTTTTCATATTGGTGTTTCTTATCAATAGATTTCAGAATGGTGCTGGTTAGCCATGGGCAACCGAGCCATTTATTCGTGATCTGTTTTGTTTTTATAGGACAATGTTTGTTGTATAGTCTAAGTAATTTGTTAAGAAAAATGTCTGTCCAATCTTCAATACCATTGGCCTTGGAGAATTCTGTAGGCCAGTCAACAGTCTCTAGGTCTGCTGTGAAATTCCTTATTGAGACCTCGTCATGGAGTCTAAATGAAACTTTGTTGTATTCAAGTGGTGGTTTACTAATGTTTGTTAAGAGGAAGGTAGGGTAGTGGTCTGTAGTGCTGTCTGTGATTATCCCTGATTTAAGCATTTTGTCCTGTCTCCATGCACCAGCAAGACTCTTCAGTGAAGGTAAAAGTAATTTAAGTGTTCATTCATTTATTAGTTATTTTATTTAGTTCTCATTGTTTTGTGTATGTAAATGTATTTTTGTTAATATTTTTGGGTGTCTGGAACGGATTAATTGTATTTACATTAATTCTTATGGGAAATATTATTTGAGTTTTCCGCCATTTCGGTTTTAGGCTGACCTTCTGGAACGGATTATGGCCGATAACCGAGGGTTCACTGTATCTATATTTATTATCATGGTAAAGATCTAGTCCTTATAGTTAACAGATAAATTATAAGTAATTATGGAATCAATACACTGTCCTATACTCTCATGAGTCATGGTATTTAATTTTTTTTTTTCAGTTGATGGGTTAGGTGGCAGTGGAGGAACACCCTTTTTCTGCTGGGACTATGTTCTTTTCTATATTGCCTTGAAGTTCCTGCAAGGAGGAGGTACAGGAGGGATGGGTTTCTTAAATAATCTTCGTACTTTCTTATGGATATCAGTGCAACAGTATACCAGCAGAGAGGTTCAGGTATGTCAACTATTGATTCATATGTTGCTATGTTATTTTTGCATACTGTTTCTCTTACTTTTTACTTAGTCTTTTTTTCATGAATTAATGTATTGGGACATATCTAGAACAGTTGTTTTATATTTTTTCTTGTACAAAATTAATCTCTATCATTAGGTTCAACTCTTCTCACACCTGCATAACTTGTCCCTACGATGGCATTTAGGACGAAAAACTGGGGAAGTTCTGCGTGTGATGGACCGTGGCACCAATTCTATCAACACACTCCTGTCTTACATTGTTTTTAAGTGAGTTGATAATTTAGTAGTTTATTGCATGTACAGTACATGACAAGTTCTAAAAATAGTGCATATTATATCATACTGTACCGTGTGTCACACATTTGATGGTCATTGATCTTCCAAATCATTCCTGATATTTTGTAGTTCATTTCTTATCTTAGAAGGCATAAGAATAGATTTTGTAGTATCTTGCAGGAATACTCCAAGTATTCCATTTATTCCTGCATTAAATAAACTATAAACAGTGGATATCAGACTTCATCTCTTATGATTATTGTCCCTAATAAAAGCATATCTAAGCATCTAATGTCATTTAAGACAGAAAATTTGCCTCTTAATATTTTGTCAGTTTTTTAATTTGCCTGTGTTTTAAGAGTGTATCCATAGTGAATCCCTTTTTTTTATTAACATGTCAGCCATTTCCCACTGAGGCAGGGTGACCCAAAAAGAATGAAAAACCCTAAAAGAAACTAAGAAAAACTTTCATCATTCAATACTTTCACCATCACTCATACATAATCTCTGTCTTTGCAGAGGCACTCAGATACGATGGCTTAGATGTCCCTCCAAACTGCCAATATCCCAAAACCCTCCTTTAAAGTGCAGGCATTGTACTTCCCATTTCCAGGACTCAAGTCCAGCTAACCGGTTTCCCTAAATCAATTCACAAAATATTACCCTGCTCACACTTCAACAGCGCGTCAGGTCCCAAATACCATTTGTCTCCATTCACTCCTATCAAACACGCTCATGCACGCTTGCTGGAAGTCCAAGCCCCTCCCCCACAAAACCTCCTTTATGCCCTCCCTCCAACCTTTTCAAGGACAACCCCTACCCTGTCTTCCTCATTCTACTTTGATCCATTCTCTCTAAACGACCAAACCACCTCAACAACCCTTCTTCAGCCCTTTGACTAATACTTTTAGTAACTCTACACTTCCTCCTAATTTCCACATTACGAACTCTCTGCATAATATTTACACCACACATTGCCCTTAGGCAGGACATCTCCACTGCCTCCAGCTGCCGCCTCACTATAACATTCACAACCCAAACTTCACACCCATATAAGAGTGTTGGTACCACTATACTCTCATACATTCCCTTCTTTGCCTCCATGGATAATGTTTTTTTTGTCTCCACAGATACTGCAATGCACCACTCACCTTTTTTCCTTCATCAATTCAATGGTTAACCTCATCCTTCATAAACCTATCTGCTGACAAATAAACTCCCAAATATCTGAAAATATTCACTTCTTCCATACTCCCTTCTTCCAATGTGATATCCAATTTTTCTTTATCTAAATCATTTGATACCTTCACCACCTTACTCTTATCTATGTTCACTTTCAACTTTCTTCATTTACACACCCTCCCCAACTTGTCCACTAACCTTTGCTCATTATCATCAGCAAAAAGTAACTGTGTCAACTCCCATTTTGTATTTGATTCCCCATAATTTAATCCCACCCCTCTTCCCACACCCCAGCATTTACTTCTTTTATAACCTCATCTATAAATATGTTAAGCAAGCATGGTGACATTACACAGTCCTGTCAAAGACATACTTTTATTGGGAAGTAATCTCCCTCTCTCCTTCACACTCTAACCTGAGCCTCACTATCCTCATAAAAACTCTTTACAGCATTTAGTACTTACTACTTATTCCATATACTTTCAACATCTGCCACATTGCTCCTGTATCCACTCTGTCATCCTGCTCTTCTTTACTCCTAAAAGATGTTATACCTCCCTGGCCAGTGCATGAAAATTACTGCCCCCTTTTTTCATTGACATTTAAAAGTTCCTCAAAATATTCCCACCATCTACCCAATACTTCCAGCTCCCCATCTACTAACTCCCCTACTCTGTTTTTAACTGACAAATCCATTCATTCCCTAACCATTCTTAACCTGTTTATCTCACTCCAAATTTTTTTCTTATTCTCAGCAAAATATCTTGACAGTTCTTCTCCCACTCTATAATTTTCGTTCCTTTTCCAATCTCTCACCTATCTCTTCACTTTTCTTTTACTCTCCATATACTCTGCCCTTCTTATATCACTTCTGCTTTTTGAAAACCTCTCATAAGCTACCTTTTTCTCTTTTATTGCACCCTTTACTTCATCATTCCACCAGTCACTCCTCTCTCCTCCTTTGCCCACCCTCCTATAGCCACAAACTTCTGTCCCACATTCTAATACTGCATTTTTAAAGCTGCCCCATCCATTTTCAACTCCCCTGTAACCCATACTTGCACTAGCTCACCTGTCTGCCAATAGTTGCTTATATCTCACCCTAACTTCCTCCTCCATTAGTTTATAAACTTTCACCTCTTACTTGCTGTTGTCATTTTCCTTTTGTACCATCTACCTCTTACTCTAATTGTAGCTACAACTAAATAATGGTCCGATATATCCATTGCCCCTCTATAAACATGTACATCCTGAAGTCTACCCATCAACCTTTTATCCACCAATACATAATCTAACAAACTACTTTCATTACGTGCCTTGTCATATCTTATATACTTATCCCCTTTCTCATAAAATATGTATTATTTATTATCAAACCTCTTTCTACACATGGTTCAATTAAAGGCTTCCCATTTTCATTTACCTCTGGAACCCCAAATTTACCTACTTCTCTCTCCACAACATTTTTACCCACTTTAGCATTGAGATCTCCAACCACAAGTACTCTCTCACTTGGTTCAAAATTCTCTATGCACTCACTCAACATTTCTCAAAATCAATCAATCTCTCTTTTTTTTTTTTTTTTACACAGGGTTTGACAAGGTTAAGGATCCCTAGCTTTATTGACAAGCTATTTACAGGTTAAGGATTCCTAGCTTTATTGGCAAGCTAAGAGCTGTTACCTACATCAGCTCATTTGAAAGCATTTTTATTGTTATGAGACATACAAGTAAGGAACAGGATGAAGTTGGAGCCATCTGTGGGCCAGCATTTTCATTTGATCAACTGACTTTATCTCGTTGACATCATTATGCTGTTCTGGAGAAGGGTACAGCCAAAGTGAAGTTGCTGCTTTCTGCCCATCTTGTGGCATAAAAGCTTGTTTCACGCTGTCCTTGAAGTGGATCCAAGCGTGGTATTTTGACAATATTGGCCTTTTACATAACAGTAAGGCCACCCACATCCCTCCTGTGTTGAAGGCTCTGCTGAAATGACAGATCTATCCAGGATGGGTCCAGGCGAGAGATGAGACGTCTTGCTCTGTTCTCCACTCTGTAAAGCAGCCGCAGATGACAGGGGGGCAGGCAAACCAAGAAAGTGGAGCATACTCAAGGTGCGAGCGTACTTGTGCCTCGTACAGAATCTTGCAACCCCTACTGTCAAGTAGATGCGAGATACGGCGAAGTGCTGTAAGCTTCCTGGCTGCCTTGTTTGCAAGATTTACAACATGGTTCTTCATGGTTAGTTTGGAGTCAAATTTCACCCCAAGGATATCAACTTCTTCTCCAGGTGCCAACACCCTCCCATTCATCCTTACTACTGCACCAGCATTACCATCATGGTGCCTAGAGACGATCATCATTTGCATTTTCTCAGGTGCAAATGTTACTTGCCATCTATTTCCCCAAGCTGATATAGCTCTCAGCTGGTGATTGATGTAGCTTAGAGCAGCTGGCATTTCTTCTCTTGGATAAGTGAATGTCAGTGTGCAGTCGTCTGCATATGCATGTGAGTCTGGGATGAGATGAAGAAGGTCGTTGAAGTAGACATTCCATAACAATGGTCCCAGCACGCTTCCTTGTGGAACACTTGCCCCAATAGGATGTCTTGCTGATTCCGTTCCATTGAGAACTACACTTAGAGATCTACCCTGAAGGTAATCACTGAGGAGACATAGCGTAGAGCCTGCAATTCCCAGTGCTTGAAGTTTTGCTAAGAGGCCCTGGTGCCACATCCGGTCGAAAGCTCCAGTAATGTCCAGTGCTACCACACAGCTGACTTTGGATTCATCCAGTGACTGGTGCCACTTAGTGGAGAGGTTTAACAACAGATCAGCAGCAGAGTAACCTTTTCTGAAGCCATATTGATGATCACAAAGTAGTGAGTGATAGTCAAAAAACTCTGTCATTTGTCTTGAGATTATTGTCTCAAAGATCTTACCAGTGATTGACAGGAGTGACACTGGTCTGTAGTTGCTGATTTCTGCTCTGCTCTTCTTTTTGTGAACAGGGACTACATTTGCCTCTTTCCATAGAGAGGGCCATTTACACTGTACTAGGCAGTGCTGAAAGATGCGAGTTAGAGGTGCTGCTAGCTGGTCTGCACATCTTCTCAGCAATCTTGGGCTCAACTTGTCTGGGCCCACATCCTTTTCTTGGTCAAGCGATTTAAGAAGGAAATGCACCTCCTCCTGCCTTATTGTCACCACTGACAGTTTTGACAGTTCTTGCAGCTAGCCAAGGAGGGTCCCTTGCTGGATCAGGAACTTGCATTTTGGTAGCAAAGTGTTCAGGAAAGAGGTCCGCCTTCTCTTGACTACTAGTAGAGGTGGTCCCATCCTGTCGATTTAGAGGTGGAATGAGTTCATCAGGCAGATAACCTTGTCTGTCCTTGACCAGGGACCACCAGGTTTTGGAGCCTACCCTACCTGATGCTAGCTTTCTTTTAGTGTCCACCTCCCATTTAGCAATGGCCCACTTTTGAACATCACCCATATGTCTACAGGCTTGCCTGTGCAAGTTCCTGTTATAGGTGGTAGGATGTCTCTTATACCTTCGCCATGCTATGTACTTAGCAGTAGCAGCCTCTCTACAACGAAAGCCAAACCAAGGCTGATCCATAGGCTTCGTCACATATTGCCGGTGAGGAATGTGTTCTTGTTGTAGATTAAGGATGTGTCCAGTGAAGGCTTTCACTTGGTTGTCAACATCCCCTTGGAGAAGAGCATTCCAATCGGTGGTGGCGAGCTCAGAGTGAAGGGCTGGCCAATTACCTCTTTCCCATAGCCAGGTTGTGCGTGTGGACTCCTCACCTCATTCTTTTGGGATCTTAAGTGTCATAAAAACAGCCTTGTGGTCAGACGATCCAACATAGCTGAGGGGTTGACAAGTGACTATGCCTTCTGCCAGATCACTCACTTCTGGGTCAAGGGAGGAGCCAGAGATGTGAGTAGGGAAATCAACAAAGTTTCTCATGTCAAACACTGCAAGAAGGTCATCAAAGCCCCTCTGTATAAGGTGCGGTTGAGGTCACCAACAATTATGATATGTTGACAGTTGTGTTGTAGCAGAAGGGAGTCAATATTTTCCATTAGGAAGTTGATAGGATCTGCATGTTGCCACTGAGGTCTGTACATTGCACAGCTGTATAGTCCTTGTGGCTTAGCGCTTCTTTTTGATTATAATAATAATGTACATTGCACATGCTAGTACAGAGGTACTAGTGTTTATGCAGAGCTTGAAGAACATCATTTCAAGATGTGTAGGGGTGGCAACATCAATGTGCTGGGCATGAACACTTTTAGAGAAGCACACAGCAACACCTCCTCCTTGTCCTTGCCTGTCTCTTCTCATCCATGAGGTGTAGCCAGCAATTCTTGCAAAATTTTCTGGAGTCCTGTCATCCAAAAATGTTTCAACAACAGCTATCATGTCGGGACGTCGAGTGTTCACAAAACTGTGTGTAAGCTCTCCAACAAGATGGTATAAACCTTGGTAATAAATACCGACAAGTTGGTTTAGAAAGACACATAAGCAAACACTATAACATATTTATTAGAAAGCGTTTCGGTCCTGGGACCTTGATCACTTCTAACATACAGTCTTTCTACCTCTGTATGTTAGAAGTGATCAAGGTCCCAGGACCGAAACGTTTTCTAATAAATATGTTATAGTGTTTGCTTACGTGTCTTTCTAAACCAAGCTCTCCAACATTAGTAATGAAACCTCTAATGTTGGCCGACATGATGCTGATAGACTGGCTCCTCCTCCTCTCTCTAGGTGCATAAACACTCACTATAACCAACTTTTCACATCCAACCCTTATTTTACTCCACATAATCCTTGAATTTATACGTTTATATTCCCTCTTTTCCTGCCATAACTTATCCTTCAACATTATTGCTACTTCTTCCTCAGCTCTAACTATTAGAAACCCCTGACCTAATCCCATTTATTTCTCCACACTGGAACTCTCCTACCCCATTCAGCTTTGTTTCACTTAGAGCCAGGACATCCAGCTTCTTTTCATTCATAACATCTACAATCATCCCTTTCTTATCATTTGCACTACATCCACGCACATTCGGACATCCCACTCTGGCGGTTTTCTTCTTTTTCTTTTTAGTAAGCTATATGGAAAAGGGGTTACTAGCCCATTGCTTCTGGCATTGTAGTTGACTTTTACAACACACATGGCCTACAGAGGAAGGATTCTTATTCTTCTTCCCCATGGATATGAAAGAAAGTGTGATAAGAACAAGAACTTCTTCTTTCAACAAACCAGCTGTATCCCACCGAAGCAGGGTGGCCCCAAAAAGAAAAACGAAAGTTTCTCTTTTTAACTTTAGTAGTATATACAGGAGAAGGGGTTACTAGCCTCTTGCTCCTGGCATTTTAGTTGCCACTTACAACATGCATGGCTTACAGAGGAAGAATTCTGTTCCACTTCTCCATGAAGATAAGAGGAAATAAACAAGGACAAGAACTAGTAAGAAAAATAGAAGAAAACCCAGAGGGGTGTGTATATATACGCTTGTAGTACATGCCTGTGTAGTGTGACCTAAGAGTAAGTAGAAGTAGCAAGATATACCTGAAATCTTGCATGTTTATGAGACTAAAAAAAAAAAACACCTGCAGTCCTACCATCATGGAAAACAATTACAGGTTTTCATTTTACACTCACTTGGCAGGATGGTAGTACCTCCCTGGGCAGTTGCTGTCTACCAACCTACCTTTTATTCTTGTAAAACTGTTACTGTAATAAAATGTGATTTTGCTGGCAAAGTAAATAATGGTGTGCAGCTTAGCATATATTAAGGAAGTTATTGTTTATTAGTCTCATACATTCCCCAGGAAGTAAGCATCTACATGAGAGTGATGGCAAAGAGGGCCCTATACTTTATGTAAAAAACCATAAAAGTCATAATACAATTGCAAACAAATTATAGAAGAGGTGGGGTTTGAATTCATTGCAAGTGAGTCTGAAAATTCACAGGCCAGTTTGTTAACCACTTGGCCAGCTGGCTCTAATAAGATTCAGTTGGATGAATCTTGTATTAATGTTGGTAGAATTACCGACAACATGTTACGTGAAGGACACAAGTGCAACTAATGTGACACTTTTTGTGGCAACGTTTTGCTACAAAAGTAGTAGTAGTAGTAGTAGTAGATGAATCTTTAATATTAGAGCCAGCTGGCCCAGAGGTTAACACACTGGCCTGTGAGTTTTAACCCTTAAACGGTCCAAACGTATATATACGTTCACTCACTTAGCGCCCCAAATTTTTTGAGGAAAAAAAATCTTTTCTTTTAAAAGGAAAAAAGAGCATATTGTGCCCAGGCATCCCCAATTATTTTAATATGGCACACAGTGAGTGCGCACACCCATTCTCTCATGTCTAGGTGACTCAGGCTTATTGTGGCAATGTTGAATGAATGACAAAGAAAACGTATATATACGTTTGGGGCGCTACGCGCGTGAACGTATATATACGTTTGGACCGTTTAAGGGTTAAGACTCACTTGGCATGGGTTCAACCCCAACCTGTTTCATAACCTGTATGTAAAGATCATGGTGAGCCTTACTGGGGCTCAATGAGATATGTGCAGTATTGGTATGAATGATGCAACATCCTCCAGGTGGAGCTCACTATACCAAAATACATTTTTAGTCAAAATGTGTACTTATTATTCTTTGATAAATTTTTAAGCTGTGCACAGTTTGATATTTAATCATGTGTTTAACGTAAATTTACAGCATCCTGCCAACGGTGATAGATATTATTGTTGCTGTCATCTACTTCACAGCAGCTTTCAACTATTGGTTTGGTCTCATTGTCTTCCTGACCATGGTTGTATATCTAGGTATGTATGTGAAGGTAATTTTGCATTATCTAATAATTTTAAGGATTGCATGTACAGTAGATCATTATATTATACAGATTTATTTACCATGATTTGGTTATTGCACTATTGAAGAATTGCGGTACAATTTTATACAATACACTGTACTTCGTAAAATTAACTTTACACGGTTCTGTTTGCGGGCGCGGAAAAAATTTCCCCAGCTCAAGCTGCCGCCTTGTTGTGGGTCAGCAGGGGAGACCTCCCACCATCCCTGACACACCCACTACGCCCATCCCAGCCTTCATGAATACATGTCCAGTATGAATGCTCCCTAGGAGCTAGCTGTGGTTGTAAATTGTGTTTTGGCCTTTTAATTGCCATATCTTGTATCTGCCAAGCAATCATGGTACCCAGTAGGCATACCAGTGTTGCTGAAAGTGGCAAGAAGAGGTATAAGCATTTAAGTCATAGAGTTAATGAAGAAAATAGAGATATTAGACAAGAGATAGCCTGTGGCCATAATGAAGTGTCAGTTTATACAATTAAAAAGAATGAGATAAATGTATGAGTTTGTGTGATGAATAACTGACTGATGTGACAGATTTACTTGACTGACTTACTAACTTTCCTGACTGACTTGACTGTCTTACTGACTTGACTGACTTACTTGACTGACTTGATTGACTTTACTAGACTGACTTACTGACACTGACTTATTGACTTGACTGGCTTACACTACTGACTAATTTACTGAGTTGAGTGACTGACTTACTGACTTACTGACTGACTTTACTGACTGACTTTACTGACTGACTTACTTGACTGACTTGACTTACTGACTTTACTGACTTAGACTTTTTCATTGAAGAGGACCCTGACAGTGGTCTGAAATGGTGTCTAGAGCAGCTGATGCTTTACCATCAGCTCTATAATGTGCTGCAGGGTAAAATAGAGCAGAAATCCATTACAGAATTTATGCACACTCCAGTACAACCATCAACTTCAGTACCAGAACCTCTACCATCCACCTCAGTCCAGTAGGGCCACAGCATAACTCTCCACTCTCTTCACAGTCATCGACAAACACCAGCACCCACAATTTGAGGTAAGAAATACTATTATTTCTGTTGCATTTGTAGTCTTAAGCAGTAAAAACAACATAATACATCACGACAATGAACTACAATTACATATTCACTTTTATTTTTGTAAGATCTGGAGGTCTAAAAAAAAGTTGTTTGGCTTTTTTGGGGCTCCCAGGAATGTAACCCTATTTTTCCCATAAGTTCTTCAGTTTATCTAACATGGATTTACCTAACACGGCGTTTTCAGGAATGCAACTATCGTGTAATATAACAGTCTACTGTACATACAGTCTAACCCCAGTATTTTCATGGAGTAGAAACTCCCTTCAGATAAAAAGTCCAAAAATATGGAATTTTGCAAGAAGATTCTAAAGGCTCCCTCTCTGCCAATTATGTATAGTATTTCAAAAATATTGCTATAAAACACCTCCACAAATGGATGTAGATCATATATAAATGTAAGATATTACTCTTACAACCCGATTATCCAGATTCCAACCACCATTCATACGCACGCACTTCATCTTTATTGTATTTCTCTGCTGCAGTTTTTTTTTTTTAACTAAAATTGTTGATACTGTTTGGTGTTACTGTCTCTTTATGTTAGCATTGCTGGCTTCATAAACAGTGTTGTTATGTGCATGAATTGATCATTTCATTTGATAAGTTTATCTTAAGATAGCTAAATTATGTTCAACTTAGCATTCAAATACAGTGGACCCTCAGCTAACGATGGCATCACCTAACGATGGCATCACCTAACGTTAAATCCAGCTAGCGATATATTTTAGCGCAAAAATTTTGCCTCGGCTAACGCTAAAAAACTCACCCAACGCGATTCGTTCGAGACGCATCCACGTGTGGCCTGAGCACGACTCACTTGTCCTGTGGGTGCCAGTGTTTACAAGCCAGCCACCGCGGTCGCATCCAAGCATACAATCGGAACTTTTCATATTATTACAGCGTTTTTAGTGATTTTACCTGCAAAATAAGTCACCATGGGCCCCAAGAAAGCTTCTAGTGCCAACCCTACAGCAAAAAGGGTGAGAATTACTATGAATATGAAGAAAGAGATAATTGCTAAGTACGAAAGTGGAGCGCGTGTCTCCGAGCTGGCCAAAATGTATACGAAACCCCAATCAACCATCGCTACTACCAAAGGTGCAACTTTGTTTTCGAATAAGAGATCGCAAGTGATAGAAGATATTGAGAGACTGTTATGGTGTGGATAAATTAAAAACAGATAGCAGGAGATAGCATCTCTCAAGCGATCATATGTGAAAAGGCTAGGAAGTTGCATGAGTATTTAATTAGAAAAATGCCTGCAACTAGTGGTGATGTGAGTGAATTTAAGGCCAGCAAAGGTTGGTTTGAGAGATTTAAGAATCGTAGTGGCATACATAGTGTGATAAGGCATGGTGAGGCTGCCAGTTCGGACCGAGAAGCGGCTGAAAAATTATTTTTTTTTATTAGCACACTGGCCGATTCCCACCAAGGCAGGGTGGCCCGAAAAAGAAAAACTTTCACCATCATTCACTCCATCACTGTCTTACCACTCCATCACTGTGTTAAACTGCAACATTAACACCCCTCCTTCAGAGTTCAGGCACTGTACTTCCCATCTCAAGGACTCAAGTCCAGCCTGCCGGTTTCCATGAATCACTTGATAAATGTTACTTTGCTCACACTCCAACAGCACGTCAAGTATTAAAAACCATTTGTCTCTATTCACTCCTATCAAACACGCTCACGCATGCCCGCTGGAAGACCAAGCCCTTCGCAAACAAAACCTCCTTTATCCCCTCTCTCCAAGTTTTCCTAGGACGACCCCCTACCCCGCCTTCCTTCTACTATAGACTGATACACTCTTGAAGTCATTCTGTTTCGCTTCATTCTCTCTACATGTCTGAACCACCTCAACAACCCTTCCTCAGCCCTCTGGACAACAGTTTTGGCAATCCTGCACCTCCTCCTAACTTCCAAACTACGAATTCTCTGCATTATATTCACGCCACACATTGCCCTCAGACATGACATCTCCACTGCCTCCAGCCTTCTCCTCGCTGCAACATTCATCACCCATGCTTCACACCCATATAAGAACATTGGTAAAACTATACTCTCATACATTCCTCTCTTTGCCTCTAAGGACAAAGTTCTTTGTCTCTACAGACTCTTAAGTTCACTGCTCACCCTTTTTCCCTCATCAATTCTGTGATTCACCTCATCTTTCATAGACCCATCCGCTGACACGTCCACTCCCAAATATCTGAACACATTCACCTCCTCCATACTCTCTCCCTCCAATCTGATATACAATCTTTCATCACCTAATCTTTTTGTTATCCTCATAACCTTACTCTTTCCTGTATTCACTTTTAATTTTCTTCTTTTACATACCCTACCAAATTCATCCACCAACCTCTGCAACTTCTCTTCAGAATCTCCCAAGAGCACAGTGTCATCAGCAAAGAGCAACTGTGACAACTCCCACTTTATGTGTGATTAACTTTTAACTCCACGCCTCTTGCCAAAACCCTCGCATTTACTTCTCTTATAACCCCATCTATAAATATATTAAACAACCACGGTGACATCACACATCCTTGTCTAAGGCCTACTTTTACTGGGAAATCTCCCTCTTTCCTACATACTCTAACTTGAGCCTCACTATCCTCGTAAAAACTCTCACTGCTTTCAGTAACCTACCTCCTATACCATACACCTGCAACATCTGCCACATTGTCCCCCTATCCACCCTGTCATACGCCTTTTCCAAATCCATAAATGCCACAAAAACCTCTTTAGCCTTATCTAAATACTGTTCACTTATATGTTTCACTGTAAACACCTGGTCCACACACCCCCTACATTTCCTAAAGCCTCCTTGTTCATCTGCTATCCTATTCTCCGTCTTACTCTTAATTCTTTCAATAATAACTCTACCATACACTTTACCAGATATACTCAACAGACTTATCCCCCTATAATTTTTGCACTCTCTTTTTTCCCCTTTGCCTTTATACAATGGAACTATGCATGCTCTTTGCCAATCCCTAGGTACCTTACCCTCTTCCATACATTTATTAAATAATAGCTCCAACCACTCCAAAACTATATCCCCACCTGCTTTTAACATTTCTATCTTTATCCCATCAATTCCAGCTGCCTTACCCCCTTTCATTTTACCTACTGCCTCACGAACTTCCCCCACACTCACAACTGACTCTTCCTCACTCCTACAAGATGTTATTCCTCCTTGCCCTATACACAAAATCACAGCTTCCCTATCTTCATCAACATTTAACAATTCCTCAAAAATATTCCCTCCATCTTCCCAATACCTCTAACTCTCCATTTAATAACTCTCCTCTCCTATTTTTAACTGACAAATCCATTTGTTCTCTAGGCTTCCTCAACTTGTTAATCTCACTCCAAAACTTTTTCTTATTTTCAACAAAATTTGTTGATAACATCTCACCCATTCTCTCATTTGCTCTCCCTTTACATTGCTTCACCACTCTCTTAACCTCTCTCTTTTTCTCCATATACTCTTTCCTCCTTGCATCACTTCTACTTTGTAAAAACTTCTCATATGCTAACTTTTTCTCCCTTACTACTCTCTTTACATCATCATTCCACCAATCGCTCCTCTTCCCTCCCGCACCCACTTTCCTGTAACCACAAACTTCTGCTGAACACTCTAACACTACATTTTTAAACCTACCCCATACCTCTTCGACCCCATTGCCTATGCTCTAATTAGCCCATCTATCCTCCAAAAGCTGTTTATATCTTACCCTAACTGCCTCCTCTTTTAGTTTATAAACCTGCACCTCTCTCTTCCCTGATGCTTCTATTCTCCTTGTATCCCATCTACCCTTTACTCTCAGTGTAGCTACAACTAAAAAGTGATCTGATATATCTGTGGCC